GTGCCTCCATCCCAAACCTCAACAGGGAGATAAGGCTGTTATCCGGACGGTTGGGATCCTTAATGATTCTCCTTGACTTATTCTTACAGCGCTTGGTGTAAATACCCTCAAGGCAGGGAAGAGCGCCTGTTCAGCAGAATTAATCTTTGCAGCGATTGTGTGTTTCCAAGCCTATATTACATACACTGTGGTTTAATTTATAGATTTTTTCCCATATGTTGGCATTGTTGTCACGCATTAAAAATCACACATAACTTAAATGCAAAACGTATGAAAGGTAAACCACCCTTTGTTCGACCGGTAAGCCTTGCATCAGAATGAAAGATTAGTAGTGATAATAATGAAGAACAAATTCAAAGAAAAATAAATGATCTTCATCAAATGTACTCGCTGGAGTAAGGTTTGCACTAAAATATATTTTTGCCAAATATTGTTTTAAGTACAAATTAAAATGAATATAAATATCCAGGCAATGGCTGCCTTTTTACTTATCTTATTTTAAGTACCAAAAGTACATTTGGAAAACATTACACATGAGGATATTTTTGACACTGTGGATTTTAGGGACTCACAGTGGGGCGTCTCAGGCAACTTGATTTAGTAATCATCACAGGGCTCCATGTAGGGAGCGCAGAACAATAAACTAGCACCAAAAGCACAAGCCTCTGTCCACAATCTTTGTTTGCTTCTCTGCACTCATCAAGTCACAAGCACACTTTCTTTTTAAGTTTCTTCAATACACTGACAGCTCATCTGAAGCAAAAAATATCCGGAATCCTACTGAAGGAACAACAGAGTTGTGTCTCTGTTGAACATGGAATGGAGTCGGGAAAGGGCAACAAAGTAAAAAAAGGCAAAACTATCTTCACCAGCATACAAAGTATTTTCCGTCCGCTCTCACATTCAGACAGGCTTACATTTTAAATGTTTTACCCTGACTTTATTAAAGGGCAAGTATCAGAGAGATTTTCCACTATTTCATCATTCACCACAAAGACTAACATTTGAAGAGATACACATGTTGTGTCCGGCCCCTGCTTCAGCTGACATGCCCACAAGCTTTCATCATATGTTGACCAAAACATGGGTCCCTGAAGATTTGCAGACACATGTGTCATTTACCCACCATACCACCAGCTTTTTATTCAGACATCTCAAGGACCTAAAACCCTGACCCTGACCCCTTACTTGGAATATCAAGTTTGACAGAAAAACACATGATCCCCTCCGTTACCTCTCTCTGACGTTCGTCAAAGATGGACACAGAGGGGAAGGAGGAGAGGAGGGAAACAGGGTAGAGATGGAGTGGTGGGAGCTCTGGGTCAGAAACCCCTCTGGCATTGAAACTGTGACTAGCGGGTGAATGAGACGGGTGTTGTGAGCGGGGCGCATGAATATGTTAGCCATTTGAAGGAGCAGACAGAACTACCTCAGCACTGTATCCATGGCAACCATCCAATGACCAACTGGAGTCCTTGTTGAGGTCTTTTGTTTCTCCAGAGTAAGTGATTAAAGGAGGTAACAGTGAGAAAAGCCAGAAAAGAGACCAGACACGCTGACACTTATCTTCTGCCAGCTGCAGAATCGTTCTCACTGCAAATATCAATGGACAGTGTCTCACAATGTAGACGCCGAATACCAGTCCTCCTTTTTGAGAGCGCCCTCTGGGGCTGGGGACGCTGGGACTGAATGGCATCCTGAGGCTCGGACGCTAATGAGCTGAGATCATTACGCCAATTATTTTAACTTAGATCAGGACTTGGCTATGACTGTGCAGAAGAACTATAGGACCCACTGCAGTGCTAGCCTAATTGCGAGCTTGGGAAAAAGAAGGATGAGCATAACCAAAGTAGAGCTGAGTAGAGTCTATCACTGAACTCTAGTTACACTCCAGCAGGTTGTTGTGATACGGTTTAAGTAGTGCCACTTAAGTCCTTTCTGTTTAAAGGTAGCTCTGAAATGGCAGACATCAGCATTTTTCGAGATTGAGTGCAAATAATAACAGTTGGGTGACAATGAAATGGTCATAGTGTAGTAGATTGAATAATACTTAAATCCCAAGTTAAACATACTTGGTTATACTATTGGTGCTTACACAATATGTCCTCCAAAAATATGGTAAGAACTATCATTGATAGTGGCCAAATTAACTGGGTTGATCCTTTCATTTAGCTAGCTTCTAATGTTGCTGCTAATGCTAATTATAAAATAACTTTGAAAAAAAATATCCAACCAAATTCCATCAGACCAACACAGGATATTCAGTTTACAATGAGATAAAAAAAGAGAAAAACTCAATATCTTCATATGAAAGAAGCTCAAACCAACCAGGTATTATTGCATAATAAGTTAGTGTTATTATTCAGTGATCACATACCCATAAATGTTTTCTTATTTATTATTTCCATTTCTTACAATATTCAAGATATCTATTCTCAGCTCTCCACTGAATGATTGAATAGAGGTGAAAAAGAGGTCATAATTTTTCTGGGCATGGCAGCCCAGCTAGTGGTCTTCTATATTCAATATAAGCTGTGGAAGACTTCTAAAGATCCCCCGTTTCCACCCGTGTTGCTGAACTTCCAGACCCTCCACAGTGCATCAATCTAAAGCCCACTGCTGCTTAACCATTTCAATGTGCTACTCCTTGTCTCATTCCTTCTGTTTCGGCAGTGCCTGTTGAAAAAACAACCCACGCTGGACCTGCTTTAAAATTGGCAAACTAGCACTGTGTGATTTCGGAAACCCCAGAGATTGAGCCGTATTATGTATCAGAAAAACAAATCCAGCAGATAATATTTCCTGCTGCTTATAGACACTGAGATTTTGAGATGGATGCAGTTCACACAGAGAACGATTGGGAATGTAGGAACACATCTCAAAGAGCGATACAACTTACCAGTTTTGCTTTAAAGGAGCATTGTTGTGGCAGTAAAGGAGACCACAAAAGTGTCAGTCATATCAAAGAAAAGTGTTTTGACTCTTGATCTTTGTGGAACTCCAAAAGAGCCCATATTAAATAAATATTGTATTAACCCCAAGCTAACAAGACAGTTGAACTGACTGTCAGAAGATGAATCCGTAATAACATTACTTGCCTAGACAATAGTTTGATTAAGTTATTGATGGAATATATGCGATAATTTAAAAAATAACTCTTCACAACTGTAGTTGTATAGTGTATTAGCTAATTTGACTAAGACTCTCTACTGATGAATGGATAGCATTAAAGGATTTCAGGCAGAAGAAATACTAATCTGATCTCATTCAACTGCCAAATCAGCTAATTAAAACTGTAAACAAAGGAATACTGTAGTAGGTTACTGTGAAAAGAAAATCAATATCATTCAAATCAATGTTGTAGTTTTTTTTAAATGTGTTGATTTATTGTGGTTATTATTACTGTTAGCAGATGACCATAGTGTTTTGATCTGATTAAAAAATGTTTGCATTTGTTGAAATATAACTCTTTGTTGTGTGATGTGTTGTGTTTAGAGTCCCATATAGACCTCGGGTTCAGCTCTGATTTAAAAAAGAACATAATATAATATTGTATGACATATGATATGTGACACTAATAAATCCACAAATCACACCACACCCTGTCCAGATGTGTATTGTTCAAGGAGAAAAAAGATAATATATTTGGTGCCAAAAGTCTCCTTCGAAAATGCCAAGACAAGGGAAAGAAATACAGGATATCAGGACTAAATGGGATGCCACTAGACGGATTATTAATTGTGAAAATTAATCACTTTGATTGGGTTAATAAAGTTATTTAAAACGAATGTTATCTGAGAGGTTATATATTAATCTCTGAACACTAAACGTGTTTAAGAGAATGGCGTTGGCCCCATCTAGTGGTCATCTACACTACACAACTTATTTAACAGTAAAATCCACCTTTATTAAAGCGAAAGTATTCACCAAAAATGCAAAAAAAACACATGCAAAATAAACTGCTGATCTACCAATTGTTGTAAAAGGTTTAGTGCAAGATTACCTTTTTAGGATCATCGTAAAATACGCCGATACATGAAAGCTTTGGTCCAATACGACGAGACTCCTTGAAAAGTTGTCTGCAGTCTTTGTAAGGCCCTTCTTTGAATTTGTAAGCAAATGTAATCTTCTTTACGGGAGGAGACCCCGTTTGTATGGGTATGTCTGAGAGGAGTCCCGAGCACCAAAGGTAACCAACTACTGTTATCAGACTTATCAACACGCTGATGAGCACACACACACCAACAAAGTCTGGCATAATAGCTTAGAAAACGGAGAATAACGTTGTTTAACTTCTTCTGAACCCTTAACACGTGTGTTGCAATTTCCCACGACCGTCTTACATCTTTAAGAACGTTTTTGGTCGTTTTCAGTTGGCAATTTTGTCCTTGAATGAAATAAAAAAGATTACACATTGTTCAGGACTTCCTGGAAAGTACCATCTACGCCGACAAAAGGGGGGGATTTTGTTAAAAAGAAACTTGTAGAATTCGTGAAAGGAGAAAATGCCCTCGTCGATAAAATGTTTATAATTTAGATTTCGATGGTAATATATGCATGTAAAGTAAATATTCGCATAGGTAATTTGATAAAGGTTTAACAATTGCCACATGTTATAACGGGTAACCTACATTATTGTGATGCCCATTTCGCCAATGTTTAATTTTGGTAAATGATATAAGGAAGATGAAGTCAGTAGAATCAAATGTGTGAAGTGTGTGATCAGAAACACACGAAGTTGGCTATTTAGGAGCTCTGGTTGACCTGATTTACCATATTTGGGTTCATGTTAAACTGGGCGGCATGATGATGGTAAGCTATAGGCCTACCTTGATGGCGTTCTGAGTTTAGAATTGCAATTATGACCTCTCACAACGTTTGCGATAGAATCGTCTGGGTATTGAAAACAACACAAAGAACATTTGTAATAAATTAGAAAAAAAATCAGCATTGAGAGTAGTTTGAAATGCAACCTGTCCCGCCCATAAACAAATTAGGGTTGGACTTAAAATGAGCTTCATATGATAACATTGGACCGCCCAGCTCAGATAAACTGAACGTTTCTTTCTCCTTAAATCTACTTGATTTTGTAATTCATCCGGAATTTGTGAGAATGGCAGGCAATGTGAAAAGGTTTTACGACCTCACAGCTAAGATGCTGTCTGGAAAAAGCTTTAGTTTTTCTGCCCTGAAGGACAAAGTTGTTCTCATTGAGAATGTGGCGTCTCTTTGAGGAACAACAACCAGGGACTACACTCAGATGAACGAGCTCAACAGGCGGTACTCTGCAAAGGGACTTGTTATTCTGGGTGTGCCCTGTAATCAGTTTGGACATCAGGTAGGTTGATATAGGCTACTGTTTACACATGGTAGGATTTTAAATATTTTGAACACAATGTCCTCAAGGACATAACATAGATAAATATGAAGCCTATCTGTATATCATCAGAATAGAACAAAAGCAAACATGTAGGCTACATTGTAGTAACTTAATCAGCGAATGTGTGTGCGTGTTTGGGTTAGGTGTTCAGATAAGTCTATGGTTCAGATGTGTTAATGTTATGAGTTGTTATTACTAATGCATTGCTGTAGTTTTGTTGTATAGCTAATTTTACCTACTGTATATACTGTTGGGTAGTAGTAGCCCACTCTATAATGGACCCTTATATTTAATTATTAGGTGATAATTGTTCATGTAGAACCTGAGTCTGTAAAAAATAACCACTTACTTCAGCTGTCAGATAGATAGATCGGCAGGGCCGAGGAGGTGAACTGGGACCTCTCCAAGTAGCAGTCCACACTCCACATTTAGGTCTGTTCGGGGACTTGAACCGGCGACCCTACAGCTCCCAGTAAAGCCAAAGACAGCTTAATTTTAACTAAGAAAAGAAAATATATATATATATATACAGCATAGTAGGCTATAAGTATAAAGTAGTATACAATAACATAAAAACTTCTGTATGCTTTCATCAACCCGATTGCATTATGTCCATACAATATTAATGTAATGTTTCTATCTCTTTTATAACAGGAGAACTGCAAGAATGATGAAATTCTAAGGTCTCTGAAGTATATCCGTCCAGGCAATGGATTTGAACCTAATTTCCAGCTCCTTGAAAAGGTGGATGTGAATGGAAAGGATGCCCATCCCTTGTTTGTATATCTGAAGGAAAAGCTTCCATTTCCCTGTGATGATGCCATGGCCCTTATGACCGACCCAAAGTTCATAATTTGGAGTCCTGTTAGTAGGAATGACGTCTCCTGGAACTTTGAGAAGTTCCTGGTTGGCCCTGATGGAGAGCCTTACAAGCGCTACGGCAGAAATTTCCTTACCATTGACATTGAGACAGATATTAAAAAGCTACTTAAGAGGGTCAATTAAAGTGTGTTACAACACACAGACCAGCCTGGTCAAAAAGATTAATCAGTATACACATCTGTTTGTTTTGGGTATTTCATCATGTTTTTCCACCTTCCTAGTTGAAGACAATTGTAATAGCATGCACCCCTAAATGTGTGGTACTGTGCAGTACACTATGGTAGTTCAGCCTCTTTACTCAATGAAGACACTCTTTGAAACAAGTTTTGTGGGGAGTTTCTGATGAACATGTAAAATACTGACTGCCTGACTGTATAACTCACATGACCATTTTCTTCATTGGGTTGTATTAAAAAAAATGTAATGCCATTTCTGCATACTGTATGCAGAGCTGCAAAATAAAAATGTGGTGGCCACAATAACAAAGGTGAACACTTAATACATTCACTCAACTGTACTGTATTTAATAAAATGCAATTTTGAGGTAACATACTTGAGTTTAACCAGAGCCTTTTCTAAATGTATTGGTACACTATACTACTCCACTACCAAGGGGCACAGGCATCAGAGCTCCTATAACTTGTTTTGCATAACTTTAGTTTTTATGAAAAAGCAAATTATTTATCAGAGCAATAAGGTGATAAACACAGCATCCATATAATCCAATAATATAATATTCAGCCAATAACTGGACCCTTTTTTTGTTACAATGATGTTACAACATCATTTGAATAATGCGAAATGTGTTATAAAAGTAGTCTGTGATTAGTAATAATTACTTCCCCAATATTGAAAACAGAAACAGCGGCACTAGTCTGCTGTTCTTCCTGGTTGAAGGCAGGGGGCTATCCTTGATTGAACGCTAGGCTAGTAAACCTCAACTCCTCCAAAATGGCTGGCCAGGAAGATCCAGTGCAGAGAGAGATTCACCAAGATTGGGCGAATCGAGAGTACATAGAAGTGATAACGAGCAGCATCAAAAAAATCGCCGACTTCCTTAACTCATTTGGTAAGCTTTTTAATAGCACTAATGTGGATACCGTGTGTAACCATCTAACGCGGATGTGGATGAACAGCTAGCTAGTTCTGCTAACATTAGCTCAGCTGTTGCTAGCATTGATGTTGATGCTTTCACTGGCCACTCCCAGTTAGCTTTATCGTTAGCTGAGAGCTGGTTATTGTTCCCTCTTATAAATATAATAACTGCTTGGTGGCGAGTATTGGGCAGCTAACATAACAATTGCAAAAGACTAATGTTGAAATAGTTGAATTAACGTGGATACAGGGCAGTGAAGCCAATGCAAACGCTGCTCGGCTGCGTTATACCAGCAGAAGCATAACAATCCAATAACAGTGACACTATTAATTCATGTCAATTGATCAATGCTAACGTTAAATGTGTGATTGGTGATCGTTACATGCTAATTACAATGTTTCCTCTTCAGATATGTCGTGTCGATCACGATTGGCCACCCTCAATGAGAAGCTCACAGCGTTGGAGAGGAGGATTGAATACATTGAGGCGAGAGTAAGTATACTGCAATGCAATTTAAACATTTCAATGCATTTTCTATATAATATTTCAAATGATATAACCATTACATCATGTTTTATGTGTCGTTACAGGTGACGAAAGGAGAGACCTTGACCTAGACATCATCATGGGAGTGCATAACATCCATGAGCTACCTGACCACCCTCCCTGAATTTCTTTGAATAAGTGTGATGGATTCCACCCTTACTTTTTTTGAAACCTTGTGGACCATTTTTATATTATATGGTTTTGTGTTGTTTTTTTCTCAAGAACATATGGGTCTGTCTTGGGTTTCGGTGACTCAAGCATCATCATTGTTACAAAACAAAAAATAGCTCCATATGTATTGTTAAAAAATATTTTGGAGCTCAATTATGGATCTATTGTCAGCACAACGTGTGTTGTATACAGTGTCATTACCACATTTAAGATTTATGAAAGGGGAATATCCTTGTGTGCCAAGAACAATTAATTGTCTAGTCATCTTAATTGAGGACCTGCTTGTACAGTGAACTGTGTGGTGATGTATCAGGTTTTAAATACTGTAATAAATGATAAAAAATGTCTTTGTTTCATGTTGTATTTTACCTCAGTAGGTTAAAAAATCAGTGACCAGGTACGTTGACACATTGAAAGATATTTAAATATCAGTAGCTCATGATATAATCAAACAGACAAGACAATAGCAATATTCAAAAGAAAGACAACCAACTAAATATACACAAATGTACAGTGCAAGAGCTGGAAAGCAAACAAAACAAATGGAGTCAAATTGTTATTGAAACTCCAGGATTAGTGGAATGCAGTGAAATAGTACACAGCACTGGCATCAATGATGTAATAAAACGTTTAATATTTTTTTTTTTTTAAAGAACAATACATTAGTATAGTTTTGTGAGTGTGAAGACAAACAAGGAATTAAATAGCTTCACTTTCACCAGTAATTTGGATTTAGGAGTCATATTCTGCAGGTCAGTTTATTGCAATTAACTTTACAATGCAATCCAGTGAACGTATTAAACGGAATTGTTGCACATTTTACAGGATCATATGATAACAAAAACAATATTTTCCAAAAATGGCAAACTGAAACTCTGCAAACCCATTAAAATGGCCGAAAACGAGATATACGTGTGTATTTACCCTTAGTTTTGTCTGGTAGGCAGCACTTTTGTTTTAGTTTAGGCAGGCACACAGCTTTAACAACTTGTGGCTCCAGCCCCAACTGTTTATGTTCTGTAATTTGAATCCTTAACTTAACCAGTCAACATTGTGGACGGCAGAAAAAGTTAAGTCACAAGCCTAATGAGACTGATAGCATATTTGAACCAAAAGGACTAAGTGCTGCCTGTATGGCAAACACGGGGCGAAATATTCCTACTTCCCATAATGCACCGGGTAAAACACCAATGCATCTTGGGACAAAGAAGGTGCAGTCGTAGTGTTGTGCTTAGTCCTTGAACGTGAAATGAATCTTTTACCCACGATTTTTCAATTACATTTTTGATAAATTACTAGTGGGTAAAAACATTATTAACAAACTGCACTGGTGAGTCATTGCACTTTCACACAGGAAACTGAAACATTTATATGGCTTCTCGCTAAAGTAACGTGTGTTTGCTGACGTTAGGCCTGATCCATGTTATGGTCTATTAGCAGTTCGTTGTGCTCATAGTTAATTCAGCCAATTCGACTTTAGTGGAACCCTTTTTAGGCATGCGTATTCACTCAAAACACAGCATTTTAAATCAAAAGTCTTGGCTTGCTTTCTTTCTAGAGTCGTGCGGGTGCTTTTGGGAGCAATGGGAGCAGATAAAAGGTGAGTAGCTGTTGGTCACGTTAAGCCCTGTCGCTGTCGCCCATAGTAGGTGTGGCTAATTAAAATGGCAGTGTTCATTTTTAATTTAAGTTTAAATGCCTCTTCTAAAGAAAGCGAACGTTAAACGGCACCAAGAACACATGCATTAACACTTGTCATAAGTACGTTTAACAGTTAACTTGTAAAGTTATCTTTGTAGGGGAGAAACTAACAACAAGTAATATATACTGAATTTGATCAAATACAAATGTGTTTTAAAAATAAAATATGATGATACTTCATCAAATGTTTTCATAAATGTAAAGCTGATTTGATAAACAGTTGGGATGTCATAACACCGCCATGTGTCTTACTTTCTTCATTCAACAAACTCAGCAAAAACTTGCATTTATCATTTAAAGAGTAAGAAAGTGTCCTCTAGGGTGGGGGTAACCAACACAATGTAAGTGGCAAATATCCAAAATAATTCATAATGTGTGGTTTTTCTGTAAAGAGTTTTTGTGTACCAGAAGACTACAAATAAAGTTTGTAAATCATAGACGGATTTAAATGTAAAGGCAAACATTCTACACATAAGCACTCCAACAAACACTGTAAATGTTGCAGCATTTAATGGAAGTTTTTGACATTGCCTGAACAAAAGGGGAATTAATTAAGGTTCATTCTATGTGTAATATCAATTAAGGAATTATTTTTGTGAGTTTTTGATACAAAAGTAGTTGTTTAAATCATATTCTAAGAAATATTGTACAATTGCAGGCTAGTTTTACTGATGTGTTGCCATGCTTTTCAATGTCCTCCTTAATAGACTAAGTCGAACAGAGCGTAGCGGTAGATATGGCTCTGACGCACCCCGGGATGATCCAGAATGGCGCGATAGACGAGAGAGGGACCAAGAGCGTGATCACAACCAGCGCCGCTGGGGTGAAGAGAGACGCAGTGATCGGTTTGAAGGAGATCGTCGACCAACAAGAGACAGTCCAGAGGTAGTTATTCTATAGTCCTCGAATGATTGGTAGTATAATGTATTAGTAAAAATACTGTCAACAGAACAGGTTCACTATTAACTGATGCACGGATCTGTTTGTTCTAAAGCAAAGAGAAAGGAAACGACGTAACAGTGATAGATCAGAAGATGGGTATCACTCTGATGGAGACTTCCCAGAGGATTACAGAAGGGAGCCTGGGGACGATAAGAAGAGCAAGACTATCATGCTCTGGGGTCTCTCTCCTCATATCACTCAAGACGATGTAAGTTTGTAGCTTTCTTTTGCAGATATGCAACCTCTTAAGTGTTTTTCCTTTAGTTACATCTGTGTGCACTACTCATTCTGTTAGAAGTACTGCATTATTTAAGGGGGTTAGGTTTCAAATCATAATATTAACATACTGTCGCGTTCTTTTTCAGATTTGTTTTTCCATAGACCAACTGGAGGGACCACAGCCAGTGGATGTCAGGCTGATGAAAAAGAAAACAGGTGAGACCTTGAAATATGACGGACCTCAGCCTCCCCCCAGTCTTTGACCATAGGACAAATCTGCTTCCATTCAGACCCATTTTCCCATAGCAGCTAGCAGAGAATAGTATCAAGGATTTAAGATGTTTCTATAAGACTTATCATTTCAGTTTACTAAGGAACTTTAAAAGGTAAGTATGAGCAAGAAAAACTGTTTAAACAGAAACGTAATTGGCAGACACACTTTGTTGCTGAGTGTGTTTAAAACAACGATATTCAACAGGAAATGTTGCTATGGTAAAACTCTTAAAGAGTGGCCTTACCTAACAGTGCCTGGGTCATGAAGCAGTTTGTGGAAGAGTTTGAATAATATGCCCATGGACTCTTAACTAACACGCCTCCCGTCTATATTTGAATGCTGTCTCTAGGTATAAGCCGTGGTTTCGCCTTCGTGGACTTTTATCACTTGCAAGATGCTACACGATGGATGGAGACCAATCAGGTTGCTTCACAATCGCCAAGTCTAGTTTTTAATCTTGGGGATCTGGAAAAAAATAACCCAAAAGGCAACCTAAGTGCATTGAATTAGTGGTGTAGAAATTACAGATCTTTTTGAAAAAACTAATGGATTGTATGCCAGAAAGCAAAAATATGTGATTTTTCTACATTATTAGAGATACTT